GCAAAAATCACAAGCATTCTGAACGACTCTTGTCGCCAGCTGGATCATGCCGATCCGCTACTCAAGCTCGAGGTCACGCCATTCCCTGCTTCAGCCTCCGAGTACTGGACACAGCGCCCCACTCCCCGGCAGGTATTTTTAGTAGAGACGGGTCACCATAGCCAGATCTCGATCTGGTCATGACGGGTCCAAGTGGGATTACAGCTGACGCACCTGCCACAAGCATTCTTATACACCAGTCAACAGAGAGAAATCATGGCTCCATTCACATAGCAGAGAATAAAATACCTAGGAATCCAACTTACAAGGGATGTAAAGGACCTCTTCAAGGAGAACTACAAACTACTGCTCAGTGAAATAAAAGAGGATACAAACAAATGGAAGAACATACCATGCTCATGGATAGGAAGAATCAATATCGTGAAAATGGCCATATTGCCCAAGGTAATTTATAGATTCAATGCCATTCCCATCAAGCTACCAATGACTTTCTTCACAGAATTGGAAAAAACTGCTTTAAAGTTCATATGGAACCAAAAAAGAGCCCGCATTGCCAAGATAATCCTAAGCCAAAAGAACAAAGCTGGAGGCATCATGCTACCTGACTTCAAACTATGCTACAAGGCTACAGTAACCAAAACAGCAAGGTACTGGTACCAAAACAGAGATATAGACCAATGGAACAGAACAGAGCCCTCAGTAATAATATCACACATCTATAGCCATCTGATCTTTGACAAACCTAACAAAAACAAGAAATGGGGAAAGGATTCCCTATTTAATAAATGGTGCTGGGAAAATTGGCTAGCCATGAGCAGAAAGCTGAAACTGAATCCTTTCCTTACTCCTTATACGAAAATGAATTCAAGATAGATTAGAGACGTAAATGTTAGACCTAAAACCATAAAAACCCTAGAAGAAAACCTAGGTAATACCATTTGGGACATAGGCATGGACAAGGACTTCATGCCTAAAACACCAAAAGCAACGGCAACAAAAGCCAAAATTGACAAATGGGATCTAATTAAACTAAAGAGCTTCTGCACAGCAAAAGAAACTACCATCAGAGTGAACAGGCAACCTACAGAATGGGAGAAAATGTTTGCAATCTACTCATCTGACAAAGGGCTAATATCCAGAACCTATAAAGAACTCAATCAAATTTACAAGAAAAAAACAAACCCCCCCATCAAAAAGTGGGCAAAGGATATGAACAGACACTTCTCAAAAGAAGGCATGCATACATCCAACAGACACATGAAAAAATGCTCATCATTACTTGCCATTGGAGAAATGCAAATCAAAACCACAATGAGATACCATCTCACACCAGTTAGAATGGGAATCATTAAAAAATCAGGAAACAGGTGCTGGAGAGGATGTGGAGAAATAGGAACACTTTTACACTGTTGGTGGGACTGTAAACTAGTTCAACCATTGTGTAAAACAGTGTGGCCATTCCTCAAGGATCTAGAACTAGAAATACCATTTGACCCACCCCTCCCATTACTGGGGATATACCCAAAGGATTATAAATCATGCTGCTATAAAGACACATGCACACGTATGTTTATTGCGGCACTATCCACAATAGCAAAGACTTGGAATCAATCCAAATGTCCATCAGTAACATACTGGATTAAGAAAATGTGGCACATATACACCATGGAATACTGTGCAGCCATAAAAAAAGGATGAGTTCATGTCCTTTGTAGGGACATGGATGCAGCTGGAAACGATCATTCTCAGCAAACTATCGCAAGAACAGAAAACCAAAAACCGCATATTCTCACTCATAGGTGGGAATTGAAGAATGAGATCACTTGGACACAGGAAGGGGAACATCACACACCGGGGCCTGTTGTGGGGTGGGGGGAGAGGGGAGGGATAGCATTAGGAGATATACCTAATGTAAATGATGAGTTAATGGGTGCAGCACACCAACATGGCACATGTACACATATGTAACAAACCTGCACGTTGTGCACATGTACCCTAGAACTTAAAGTATAATAATAAAAAAAAAGAAAATAGAAAGGAAACGTTTGAGCTGTAGCAATGTACATAAAGCATCAATCAATTTGCTCTGGAAACATTATATTAAAAAGCAACCAACAGAAGATAATATGTATAACCTTGAAACACCCAGAATACTGAAATACTAGAATAAGCTACATTGAATCTCAGAATTTTAGGACTTCAAACAAATCAGAGATAATTTGAAATCATGCTTTTACTTAGTATTAAGAAAAAGAAACTAACTCCTAAAACTAAGTACTTTATTCACTGTTTCATAGCTAGTCAATCTAATTTCAGTATCTTTTAATAAGATGATTTCCTTAACAATGCAGATACAATTTTTTTATAAAACATTCTTGAAAATAAACTGTTACATACCCCAAAAAAAGTATATATATATATACTTTTTTATATATATATATATGTATATGGAGATATATATATGGAGATATATATATATGGAGAAACAGATAAACTCATACGTTGCTGCTGGAATGATAAATTAATATAATGTCTATGAAGGCAATTTTGCAATATCAATATTCATAATGTATATATTGGACTCAGCAACTCCTCTTTAAGATTGTATCATACTCGTATTTTTGCATATGTGCATTACCATATCTATACAAGACTAACTAGCAACAGCAAAAGACTTCCAATAACCTAACTAGCCATCAGTAAAAGGAAACAGGCTAAATAAAATATGGAACTTCCATAAAATAAAATACTACATAGCCATATATTTTTAATTTAAAAAATAAAGTTCAGAACAGTGCACTTAGAGAGCTGCTGTTTGCAAAACTACTGAGCAAGAATAAAGATATACATATTTGCTTAATACACAGTAAACTACTCTGGCAGAATAAACACAAAGCTGGAAGCACAGATTGCCTGTGCAAGAGGGATTAGCAAACCTTGGGGAAGGATTGAGAGTGAGGGTTTCCTCTGTATATTTTTTTGTGTCTTTTGAATTTTAAACCACATTAATATATTGCTTATTTAAATAAATAAATAATATATTTTTAAAAGAGGATAGTAGGAAGATAAGTGGAATCAGGGAGTATAGGCAACTCTTTTGAGGAGTTGTTTTGCAAAGCTGGGCAAAGTCCACTTTTTCCTTAGCTATGTGACCCAGGCAAGTTAGTAAATGTTTCTGAAACTCCATTTTCTCCTTGTTAGAATTGAGACAGTAATACCTGCCACAGAGAATTATCTTGAAAATAAGGTAAGAAGATATGTGTCAGATACTTAGCACAGCAATAGCACATAGTAAGCACCAGTGAATGCTTAGTAGTAGTAGTATAATTCCTAAGAGTCCATGGAACTCTAGGTTCAAAATCCAGTATCTTCTGGGACCATCAGATGGCATCAGACTCAAGCACGTGCTCCTCTAGCTGACAGCTCTAAAACACAAGGAAGATCTTTGTTTTCCTTATTCCCTAGTCCCTTCCCCAACAAAATTCTGACAATTCCGCATTTCCTCCTCTTGTTTCACAATTGCCATGTGGATTCCAAGTGGCTATCCCTGGGTGGAGGCATAAAGGACTTGAAACTCAATGCTGTTTCCACATAGGGCCGGGCAGACACGGTATGGAGTTGTTTTGGCGTCCAAGGAAACCTATCAGTTTCCCAAGCTTTCCCCTCTCCATTCATACTTTCCTTCAGAAAGAATAAGGCATGTCTAGGTGGGAAACATACTGCAGGTAAGTGACAAGAAGGGGAAATTATAGGGTAAGGAGATCAATCAAATGGTGATGGAGGGCAGGAGTGAACAAAAAGAACTCTGGAGCAAACCAGGATTAGTGACATCTGTGGTTCCTAGACACACCACACTTACAGGAATTTGTCTGTCTAGCCCGAATATTATTACTTTCAGAGAACATTTTTCTGTGTCCCTGACATAAAGCCTACCTGGGAGTTTCCCCTGAGATAAGAAACTTTCAGGACATCTTAAGGTCTACTGCTTCTTCCTGCGCTGCCCATCAAGGTAAGTTTTCCACCCAACTTTATCATGATGAGCTGTGTGATTTCATGTGAGTTTCTCTGTAAAATTAGATTTGACTGTTACATTATTTTTAAGATGCTTTCCAGGCTTAAAGTATGATGATGCATGGGTGTAACTGCACTGAGGAAATCACAGAACTTCTCAGATCATCTTCTTCCGTGAGGGCTTCAGCTTCCATGTTGGGAGATACAGGAATTATTATTCCTGTTTTATGAATAAAGGACATTTGTGGGAGGGAAAGGAATCAGGCCAGAGTTCCTTCTCTCCAAAGGCCTATTTTACCGTCTGTGAAATTTGAGAGTTGGATGGGTGTGAAGCTGCAAGTCAGCCCCAGGATGAAAGAAAGGCAAATCTGCACAAGAACTGCCCACTCTTACCCCATCCTCACTGCACCCTGCTCCCAACAGCCAACAGGCAAGAAAAAATCCAGAACAGCAGTTCTGGGGAATCCGTTGCCAGCACTGGAAAGTACCTGCTATTTCCGGGAATATGAAGGTTTCTCTTTCCCAGAATAGCAACCTTCCAAGTTAAGTCCCTCCCATCAACCAGTGATCTGTACAATGTCGCACTTTCAGTAGTGGGAGTGGGCAGGGAGGATTAAGATTGAGCACTATGGAGGAGATATTTATTCATTTATTCAACGGACTTTTTATTTATTCTCCACTATGAATTTGGCCCTCGACCAGGTAGCAGATATAAAGCTTCATAAGATATGTGGCTTTCCACCCAGGTGTTCATGGCCTGGTGGAAGGTCCAAAAAGCTGGGAAGGGGAAGATAGAACTTTAAAAGGGCTGTGAAAGAGGTAACCACACAGTGATAGAAGCACGTGGAAAGGGCTCTTTGCCCAGACTGACGACGTAAGGAAGGCTTCCTGGAAGACCTGAAAACTGAGTTAAGTCTTGAACTTGAAAATCAGGGGCGAGTCAAGCAGAAAATGGGCAAGAAAACACCATATGCAAAGGCACAAAGGTATTGGGGAGGGCAAGAAGTTTGTTGTGGAGCTGAATGCAACAGGAAAGGCTGAGACAGATGGGCTGGAACACTGTGTGCCCTGAAAAGGATCTCTGCAGTAGGGCTCAAGAGCACCTGAAGGAATTTTCAGAAATGCCATCATCGTATGTGACATACAATTTAGAAAAATGACTTTGTGAAGAATGGCTGGAAGAGGGAAGCTAATGGCAGAGAAACCGCTCTGGTGATGGGATTATCTTAAGTCTATGAGTGAAGACTGTAACAATGGGACCGGAGAGAAGAGAATAGATTCAGAATTATTTAGAGCTCAAAGCAGCAGAGCTTTTCTCAATCTGATTATGGATTAGGGTTTATGGACCCAAGATGCAATATCATTTCTTGGGTCAGCGTGTGGACTCTAGGGTCAGGCCTGTGTTCAAACTCCAAGTCCACTACTACAACCACCTTGGGAAAGTCATTTAACCCCTGTGAGCTTCAGTCTCCTCGTCTGTAAAACAGGGGTAATAACCAACCTCATAGGGTTGGGGATAATGATTAAAAACAATAATACATTGAAAACACTTAGCATAGTTCCTACTCACATTAAAACTCTATAAATTGTAGCTGTTACCAATGTTGTTATTAATACTGTTAATCAGGGAACTGTTCTCTGTCCCTCCATACCCTAGCTTCTTCAAAATAGCAGATACTGGTGGGAACAGGGAAGGATATAGAAAGGCAATCTCATGAATATTTATGTCATTTTTTGTTAATTTCTATCTCAAAAAACAGATAAACAACTGATGGGACAGGCAGCAAAATAGTAACTATGGTTATCTCTGGGAAGTGACACAACGGGTACTTTTACTTTTCTTCTTTGTATTTTTATATTGTCTAAATTTTCTATATGAATGTATACAGTTCATGTAAGAAGGAAAATATTTTAAAATATATTTATTATGCCACAAAATACTCCTCATCACCAGGCAAAGCTCTAGTCACCAAGGAATTAAGTTTCCTGGACATAGACAGCCCCCACCCAAACCCACCCCACCCTTCCATCCCACCAAAAGCACACAGGGTCCAAATCTCCATCGTGCCTGCAACTCAGGAATAACTATCTGGCCACACAGCTCTGGGAAACTCAAAGCAGGAACAGCTCTGGGTCCTGGAGACGCCCCTGAGAAGACGGCCCAGTATCCCTGGGGCCTCAGTCCATCAGCCGCTGCTGTACCAGGCGGGAATAGAAGTCCTGCCCCTCTTGGAGCTGGGCAAGCTTCTGCAGCTCGCCCTCCTGGAGAACGAGGATCTGGTGGGCGCTCTGAACTGTCTGCAGCCTGTGAGCGATCACCAGCACCGTGCGATCCCCACGGGAATTCCAGTCCTGCAGCTGAAGGGGTGATCACAGTGCCTCAGACAGACAAGAATAAGACGGACACCACATCCACCTGGGCACCATCTCTTAGGACTTAGGGTAAAGAAGATGTGAAATAAAAGAAGGTAGGAAAGGGCAGTAGATAAAGGCCTGGACTGCCCTTCTCGCCTGGCTGTACTGCCACAGCTGGAGGAACTGGAGCCCAGGAGGAATTGGGGCTGCCTTCACACCACCAGATTCCATTCCCCAACCCCAAGAAGGCACAGACTGTTTCCACTAGTAGGTCCTTCGTCCTCCCTCTGCCCAATTCTGCACAGGCTGATCCTCCCGGCGTGCCCGCTCCCAGGCCCCACTGTCCCCTGCCCCTGTCACGGTACTCACGGCCTGCTCGCACTGCACATCCAGGGCACTAGTGGCCTCATCCAGGATAAGGACTCGTGGGTCTCGCACAAGGGCCCGGGCAATGGCCAGACGTTGTTTCTGTCCCGCAGCCAGCTGGCTCCCCTTCTCCCCTACATCTGAGGACATCAGAAAAATTCCCTACCTCAGATACAAGTGACAGAGACAACATACAAGGAGGGACAAGTGCATAGCAGGTACTTCCAGTAGGACCTCGGGAGGTAGGAGGGTCCAGTGGGAGGAGGGCCATGGGGTGGAGACCTGACGAGGCTGCCCGTGGAGGGAGCACCACTGCTGCATTGCTCTCTGCAAACAAAGGCTCTTGAGCAAGATGGAGGCTGAAGAATTCAGGGTATGGAGAAGGAGACATAGGAATGGAGGAAAGGGCAAAGGAACAGCAAACATCAAGTTACAAGGACACAACTCTCACCACTAAGAGTAAGTGTGACTTTCTCTTTTTCACTGAAGGAGCAGGCTTACAATTTGTAGAAGATACCTGTGTATATTCCATGCTCCATTTCCTGGATGAAGTCATCTGCGTGGGCAGCCTGGGCAGCCGCCATCACCTTATCATCTTCGCAGCTCTGCAGCCCATAAGCAATGTTGTTCCTCACAGAACCGGAGAACAGCACAGGCTCCTGCCCAACTGAAACCACCTGTGCAGACGGGACAGGGGCAGAGGACTATGTGTAAACCCCCAAGGCAGGGGCCCTCTTGTCCTCCCCACCTACCTCCCTCAGAATGAACACCTGGTGCATCTCTCCGTGGATCTCCCATCCTCTCTCTGTACATGCTCCCTTCTCCTGTCCCGTCTTCTCCCTCCTCACCCACCTGGCTGTGCAGGTAGCAGTGTTCATATTGTGAGACGGGCTTTCCATCCAGCAGCACCTGTCCCGCGGTGGGCTGGTACAGATTCTGCAGCAGGGCAGCCACTGTGCTCTTCCCAGACCCATTGGGTCCCACCAGTGCCGTCACCTCACCAGGACGTAGGGTGAACGTCAGCCCCTAGAAAACCAGAAAAGAGTTAAGGGCCTGCCCCTTCTCCCTCAAAATCCCTCCATTTCTCTTCCTAGCAGAGGCAAGACCAGTTTCTCAGAGGCAAATGAACTACAGGCTGTGATGTCCAATTATGCATTAGCAGCAGAGAGCAAGGGTCCAGGTTTCCTCCCTCTTTCAGGCACCTTGAGCACAGGCCTGTCGGGGCGATTGGGATATGCGAAGGAGACGTCTTGGAATTTCACAACCCCCTGCAGAGTGGTGGGGGCCAGTGTGCCAGGTGAGGGCAGATTTGGCTGTCGGTCCATGTAGGAGAAAACCTTGTCCGCAGCTCCCACGTTGCTGAGCATATCCCCATATATGTATACCAGGGTCTGGAAAACAGGAATGGGAGAGCCGGCTAATCAAACACACTTCCACCAGAGACCACCCTCCCAACTCCTCACACACTCCACTCACAACTGTACTGCTCCTCCTCCGTATTCAAAAGAGATTCTCCACCTTTAAATGTACAATTTGGATGGAATTTAAAAGCGGCACCAATACCCCAGTGTTCCAATTTGCAATATAAAGGATATACAGTCCATTCTCCTGCCATTCAGCATTGCCTCCAGCCCCAGATCTTTTCAGTTACTGCTTCCTATTACTTGGGCCCAGTTCTGTCTTGCTTGATTAGACGGGAACTCCTTAAATGCAGGCACTGTGTCCAACTCACCTGTGTAGCCATCAGAGTGCCTAGCGCAGTTCTCTACACAAAAAAGATGTTTATCAAGTGTCTAGGAAAATGTTTAAATAAAGCCCTGGATGAAGTAGCTGTTTTTGAAAACTGGTAAATGTAGGAAGAGACCTAAATGCTCACTCTGCCTTTCCTCATCAAACTGTACCACTGGGTAATGAAATGGTAGATAAGGGGAACTCTCCCTTCATAGACCTACTTCAGATAATACATGAAGAATGACAGAGTATCTCCCTTTTGCAGCCCTAATTCTGTCATGGATCTAGGTACTGCTCATCGGTGGCTGATGTTGCCACAAATAGAGAACCAGACACTGTGTGACTCTTGGAGAAAGAAAGCATCACCACCTAAAAAGCACTGTTGCTGGAAAAAGACAAAAAAAAAAAAAAAAAAAAAACCCTCAATCTCACAAGCTTCTAGGTGTATTTATCAATAGACAGGAAATACAGAGGAAGAAGAGCATATAATACCACAAGGATTCAGTCAACAAAATCCAGACCCTAAGAAACTCTACAGGACAAACAACCTATTTCTTCAGCAAATAAACTGTGCAAGGGAAACTTTTAGAAAGACACATGGATTGATGGATGGATGGATGGATGGACAGACAGACAGATGGACATAGATAGATAGATAGATAGACTTAGATAGATAGAGATAGATAGACTTAGATAGATAGAGATAGATAGATAGATAGACTTAGATAGGTAGATAGATAGATAGATAGACATAAATAGATAGATAGATAGATTAGATAGACTTAGAGAGAGAGAGAGAGAGAGAGAGAGAGAGATAGACTTAGATAGACTTAGATAGATAGATAGACTTAGAGAGATAGAGATAGATAGACTTGGATAGATAGACAGATATAGATAGATAGATAGATAGATAGATAGATAGATAGATAGATTAGATAGATAGATTAGATAGATAGACTTAGACTTAGATAGATAGACTTAGATAGACAGAGATAGATACAGATAGACAGAGATAGATAGATAGATGGATAGATAGATAGATAGATAGACTTAGATTGATAGACAGATAGACTTAGATAGATAGACATAGATACTTACATAGATAAATAGATAGATAGATAGATGGATAGATAGATAGATAGATAGATAGATAGACAGATAGATAGATAGATAGATAGATAGATAGATAGATAGATAGATAGATAGATAGACTTAAAAGATGTATCAACCAATCACAATATGTGGCCGTTTTTGGATCCTGATTCAAGCAAAGTACAATAAACACACTCATACACATATATTACATGAATAGCACAAGTGGAAATTTGACAACTGACTGTATTTGATAAATTTTAAGAACTATTGTTAATTTTTTGGTGTGATAATGGCTTTGTTGTTACACACTTTTAAAGATGTTTATTTTTTAAGAAACATACCAAAATATTTACAGATGAAACTATATAATATCTTGAATTTGCTTCAGAATAATATGGGTGGAGGAAGTGGCTGGGGATACAGATCAAACAAGATTGGGCACGAGTTGATCATTGTTAAAGCACAGGATGTATACATGTGAATTTGTAAAACTATTTTGTCTCATTTTTGGCATATGTTTAAAATTCTCCATAGCAAAATTACTTGGCGGTTTTGGGTTTGTATTGTATTGTTAAAAGGAACAAATAAAGCCCAAGGCCCAGAAGGCCACAAAGAAAAAGAGAGGGAAAAAAGGAGAGCAGGCTTGGCTTCTCACTCACGTGCACATAGCTCCCCACGCTCTCCTGGTAGATCATAAAGGAAAGCAGGCTGCCCTGGGTGAGCTCCCCATCCTGCATCTGCTGCAGCCCACAGCTCAGCATCAGCACCTGCACCCCCAAGTGCAGCACCTGGGAGAGGAGAAGAAAGAAATGAGGCTGGGAATCTTCCCATTCTTTCCCCCTCTCTGCCTCTATGAGACTGACCTGCAAAGGCCCCCAGAACCAGCTGTAGTTTCCCTTTCCCTTTCCCTCCCCTTTTCCTGGGCTCCTTTCACAACCACTCTGAGATCTTACCCTCCTTATGAGCAGGTACAAGGCGCGTTCCAGGTCTCTCCGCCAATACAGCTGCCGGCATTGTTCAAGGGCCTCTTTATAGCGACAGACTTCATGCTCCTCAGCCCCAAAACTGCGAACGGTCTGCAACCCTCCAACGGCCTCCCGCACCACCTGCCCTGCCCTGGCCACTGCATCCTGGATCTCCCGAAGCACTGCCTGGAAGAGGGCCAGCAAACACCAGGGCTGATGTGGCAGAGACAGCAGGCCACCACATCTTATTCCAGCCTATGCGATGCTCCCTAGTCTACCTAAAAATACCAAACTGTTTCTTTCCTTCTTCCTTACTCTTCTTTCCAGAAGAAGTAAGAGTGAAGGAGCGAGGGAACAAAATATTATCGAGCTCTCAGTGTTAGGTAGTAGAGGAGATACATGCAATTTTTTTTTAACCTTCCTTTGAGGTAATTCTCCCATCCCCAGTGTCTGAATCAGGAAGGAAGCGTAGTTTTCTCAAGGAGCCACAGATAGTTAAGAAAGACGGAGATGTAATTCCAAATGGATCAGAGGCCTCAACTTAAGAGCTAACACTATAAAACTCCCAGGAAAATGTAGGAGAAGAGCCTCATGCCACTAGATTTGGCAATGATTTCTTGGACATGACACCAAAAGCACAGACAACAAAAAATAGATAAATCAGACTTCATCAGAATCTAAAACGCTTGTGCATCAAAGAACTCTATTGACAGAGTGAAAAAGCAACCATAAATGCAAGAAAATATTTGTGAATCATATATCTGATAAGAAATTAATATGCAAAACATTTAGTGAACTCCCATAACTCAAAAAAAAAACAAAAAATGGGCAAAGAACTTACATTCTTTCAAAAAAGATACATAAATGGCTAAAAAACACACGAAAAGATGCTCAACATTTACTAATCATTAGGGAAATGCAAATCAAAACCACAATGAGATAATCCTAACCACCTAATCACCACCATTAGGATGGCTTTCAGAAAAAAAAAAGACAACAAAAAGTAGTAAGTGTTGATGAGGATGTGGAGAAATTGGAAACCTTATGCACTGCTGGTGGGAATTTAAAACTGTTGCCTCCGCTATGGAAAACTGTGTGGTGGTTTGATACAGTCTGGCTGTGTCCCTACCCAAATCTCATCTTGAATTCCCATGTGTCATGGGAGGGACTGGGTAGGAGGTAATTCAATCATGGGAGCAAGTCTTTCAGGTGCTGTTCTTGTGATAATGAATAAGTCTCACGAGATATGGTGGTGTTAAGAAGGGGAGTTCCCCTGCACAAGCTCTCTTTTCTCTTGTTTGCTGCCATGTGAAATGTGTCTTTCACCTTCCGCCATGATTGTGAGGTCTTCTCAGCCACGTGGAACTGTAAGTCCAATAAATCTCTTTCTTTTGTAAATTGCCCAATCTTGGGTGTGTCTTTATCAGCAGTGTAAAAATGGACTAATACATGGTTCCTCAAAAATTTTAAAACAGAATTACCATATGATCCAGCAACTCCACTTCTAAGTATATACCCAAAAGAACCAAAAGCAGGGTATGAAACAGGTATTTGTACACTCATGTCCACAGCAGCATAATTCACAATAGCCAAAAGGTGGAAACAACGCAAAAGTCCATTGACAGATGGATAATCGAAATGTGACGTATGCACACAACAGAATATTATGCAGCCTTAAAAGGGAGGAAATTCTAATGCATGCATGCTACAATAGGGATGAGGCCTGAAGACATTATGCTAAGTAAAATAAGCCAGTCACAAAAAGACAAATACTGTATGGTTCCAGTTACATACAGTACCTGGAGTCATCAAATTCATGGAGACAGAAGGTACAATGGAGGTTGCCAGGGGCCAGGGGTTGGGGGTAGAAGGCAGTTACTGTTTAGTGGGTACAGAGTGTCATTTTAGGAAGATGAAAAAAGTTCTGGAGATGGATGGTGACAATGGTTGCCCAATAACAATGTGGGTTTCCTAAATGTCACTGCACTGTACACTTCAAATGGTTAAAATGGTAAATTTTATATTATGTATGTTTTACCACAATATAAGAGAAAAAGAGAAGGTGGAGCTGACATTCAGACTCAGGACTTCCTGATGACGCCTCCTTTCTCTATGCTTCATCCAGACTACTTCTGCTGATTTTAAAGGGAAAATCTCCCTGCCTAAAAGCCTCCAAGAAATCATTTTTAATCTTCGCAGTGGGGGCGGGGGATGTATAGACTCCTTTAAGAAGCTAATGAAAAGTTATCACCTCCTATCATCTCCCCTTCCTATTCCCTCCCCCACACCCTCACACACACTTTTACATTTTGTTTACAGTTCTGGAGGATCATGAACCTTCTGAACTCAAATATCCATTGTTGGATGGCTGGACAAGCAAAATGTGGTATATACACACAATATACCTTCTCCCCTAAGGGCTGGGAAGAGAACATCTCTCTCTAGGAGATCCTCTAGCCACAAATGTGGAAGCCTCCTCACCTGTCAGTTTTATTCTCCCTTTGGGGTTCCCTCACATGCACACTCACCTGATGACGGGTGTTGTACACCTTCTCGGCTGCTATTGTGAAGGGCACGTCCAGCAGAGAAAGGAGTGTGAGTCGAGGCGATATGCTGAGCATGAAGCCATACAGCCCCACTACTTTCACCAGGCTTCGCAAGAGCACATTGGCATTTAAAGGAAGCCAGTTACTCATCAGGGTGGTATCCGAGCTCAGCCGTGAGTTCAGCTCCCCTAAGAAGGACAGAGCAGGTGAGGAAAGAGGAAACTATGTGTACTGCAGGGCCCCCAGAAACTCCCTCCTAACCGTTCCCTCTGACACAGCCCCCTCCTCTGAACATCCTCCTTCACTTGCAGAGGGACAGTGGAGGCTGCTTCCCCGCCCGTCCCAAATGAGAGAAAAGCATCCCCAGGTCCTGGCATACGAGTGAAGGCAGGAGGAGAGGCTGTGGATGGAAGATCACTGAGGGGCAAGGGATGTCCATGGGAATCCCAGACCTGGACTCCAGGTCCCACCTGTCTTCACCTCCTGGAAGAAACCGAGGTCCTGGCGCAGCAGGGAGGAGAAAAGCTGCTCCCGGATCCGCAAGTTGATTCTAGACATGGTGTAGGTGAAGCAGCCTCCTCGGCAGCCTGCAGACAGTGAGCTGCGGGGTAGGAGATGAGAGGGGAGGGAGATGCAGAGAAGGAGCAAGCCAGCGGGTGAAACAGAGGAGCAAGCCAGGAGTGCAGAGAAGCACAAAGTCGGGGGAAAGCATGCCAGGAGAGGCAAAAGAGAAAGAAATGAGAGACAGACACACAGAGAGAGAAGAGGCAAGGAATACACAGAGGAAGAAGAAAGGGGAGACATGGTGAGCTAGATGTAAGAACAAAATCATAACATGTACAAATTCACAAGTATTTATGGAGTGCACTCTGTACTAGACACAATAGAGGGCTACAATAGAAGGGAAAAGATATTGTGAAAACAAGTATCCCAGTGCTTGCTTCTGTCCTGGCCTCCCTCAGGCTTGTCCCTCTGTGCGTCTCCTCTGCCTTCGTCTCCTTCCTGCCCCACACCCAAAGCCCTTCCCTGTCATCATAGATACTTCATCATGGGAACTGCAGTAATAAACTCCCTGCCCCCACCATTCTCTGGAGCCTGAGTCATGTGGTTCCCATCTTTCATCCTTCAGGCTGGAGAATTCCTCTTAGACCAACTACATGACTACAGTAAAACTTAGAGGAAAAAATATAAAATCATAAAAGCAGGTATTTTACAACATATATGTTTCTAACACAAATTTAGTTACCATATTGAAGAAGCATTTGGAATAGTCAGACATGATATAATGAGGGTTTGGACTTTAATGAAAGGGATGCATTCTGAGAAATGTGTCATTACTTTCATCGTTGTGTGAGCATCATGGAATGTACTTACACAAACCTAGATGTCATAGCCTACTGCATACCTAGGCCATGTAGTTTAGCCTATTCCTCCTAGACTACAAATCTTACACCATATGACTGCACCTAACACTGTGGGTGACTGTAACACAGAAGTAAGTATCTGTGTATCTAAACATAGAAAAAGTACAATAAAAATATGGTATTATAATTTTGTGGGTCCACCATCTTATATGTAGCCTATCATTGACCTAAACATCATTATGCACTGCATGACTGTAGTTTCAGCAGAAAGCAGCCAGGATGGAATGAAGGCACAATGAAGAAATGGTTTTTGAGGGTATTCTAAATTAAGTATGACCATAAAAATAGAGACAATCAGGCCGGCTGGGATTTGGGTAAGGTGAGTGAGCACCTCCTTAAACTTTGCACCCCAGGTGCCTCACTCACCTCATCCCAGTCCAAGCCTTATCAAACAGTCTGTTTGTTTATGTCTAGAAAGAGAAGGGAAAGCAAGTGAAGGGAAAAGAGTAATGATTCTGGAAAGAAAGGTGATAAGCCTCAGAGTAAGATCTTCAGGGACTGGCAAGGTAAGTTGGGAAAGAAGAGTGAGAGGGAGAAGCATGCCCGTCCTGAGGAGAGAGTGACCCTGGAGAGATACTTGGAGACAGACTTAGCGGTAGGAGGCAGAAAGAAATGGAATTTCATGGGCCTAGGAATGTTGAGAGACAACTGAGAGGCATTCCATCTGACACTTCAATTCCTTCTGTACTACCTTCACTCATAACTTGTACCTATAATAAGATCAGATAAACTTTGAAGATACTGCATGAATATGAATGAAGGAAGAAATGAATGGATAGAAGAAACAGAATGGTGACTACATTCGCCATATTTTAGTTGGAGTATTTTTGTGCTTTGCGCCTGAAAGGGCCTGGAAATAGAGTTAGGGAAGTGAAGACCCCTGGAAAGACTTAGGGCTAGCAAAGGGACCCAGCTGCCCATCACCTACCTGCCAAAGGAGAAGAGGCACATGAAGAAGATGGCACTGGCAAAGGCATGGGGGTCAAAATCACCTCCCAGGATGTCAATCACACGACCAGAATAGTGAGGGATTAATGTCTCACCTGAGAGAGGCATGAAAAATAACGCATGAATGTACTGGTGCCCAGGCCCTTTTCCCACCTCCAACTCACAACGTCCTCTCCCGACTCACCTAAGACAGCAAGGACAAGGAAGAAGAAGGCGGCAACGAGGAGAGGCAGGTCCGGCCTGGAGAGCTTCAGCAGCCTCCACATCAAGACTTTGTTGTTCACCTGGTCCTGCTCCTTCTCCTGGGCTCCAGGAGGGCTCAGAACAGCCCACAGTGACCAGCTGAGCCCCGCGGCCCCGTATCCCACCAGCAGCCAGCTCCAAGAGGCTGAAGCGACTCTGGCTGGGGGAGCACGTGAGGCCCCCGCGACCAGGGCTCTCAGGGAGACAGTCAGGGGGGTGGCCAGACAGAGTGAGGGCAGCAGTGTCCCCACAAATCCCAGCAGCCCTCTTAGCTTCAGCAGCCCCCACAGCCCTCCCAGCCGCAGGGTCCCCTCCAGCCATAGTCCTGGCAGCCCTTGAGGAAGCAAAGTCCCCAGAGGGCCCTGAAGCAGCCACAGTAAAGCCGCGTCCACCAGCAGCAGGAAGGTCCAGGGTCTCAGGTCAGGGAGCAGCATGGCTCTGTCAAGGATACGAGATGAGAAATTATGGGGGTGGAGTCCCAGTCCTTGTCCCCGCCCTCCTACCCGCCTGGCTTCGCCCAACCCATCCATCGGCTTCTCATTTTATCCTATTCGACCCTGAGAGCTCTCCCGAGTAACCGGTGCTCATCCGTACACCCCTCCTACAACAGACAGCTTTCGGCCTGCCTGGGGAGCTGGAAGCATGACCATCAGGAGCCTCGTGCTTAAAAAAAAAAAAAAAAAAAAAAAAAAAAAAATTCCCCGGACCCCCACCCCCACCCCCGCCTGCCGCAGCGAGCTAAGCGGTCCGGGCTCCGCTGCCTCCTATCGCCGGGTGCAGAGGGACTGGGAAGCTGGAGCGTAGAGTGGGTAGTCACTTGGGCTGCGTCCCTGTTGGCGCTCCAGGTTCCCCTCCCCACCAACTCACCAGCCGCGGCGGGGAGACGGCAGCTCCGGGGTCTTCTGCTTCAGCGCTGAGGTCCGCTCCGCCTCTCCCAACTTCGCTACCGGCTCTGGTCAGCCAGCTACGCTCAGCCAGGGCAGGCGTCAGGGCTCGAGCAGCTTTCGCTTTCGCTTTCGCTTCCGCAGCCAAGGCCTTCATTCTGGGCTGGGCCGCCGGGAGGAGGCGCGGGAGACCCGCAGACAGCGGAACGGGAGCCCGAACTCTGGTTCGCAAGGCACAGTCCTCAATGAGTCTCACTCACCCTTAGTGGTGGTTACTCTGGGATATAAAACTGCAAAAATGTTTCTTTATCATTAAGTAAAATACAGTTGTCTCAAGGACTTTATCTGTTGTCCTTGCTTTGTAATTGAAGAATGCTTTGTAATTGGAGAATCACTAGATTTTCTCAGTTACTACTTCAAGCTCTGAACTTACTGTTAAGAAGTGCCCTCTTGCGGTGGCTCACGCCTGTAATCACAGCACTTTGGGAGGCCGAGGCGGGCGGACTGCCTAAAGTCAGGAGTTCGAGACCAGCCTGGCCAACATGGTGAAACCCTGTCTCTACTAAAAATACAAAAACTAGCCAGGGCATGATGGCAGACGCCTGTAATCCCAGCTACTCGGGAGGCTGAGGCAGGAGAATTGCTTGAACTCAGGAGACAGCGGTTTCAGTGAGCCGAGATCAGGTCATTGCACTCCAGCCTGGGCGACAAGAGCGAGACTTTGTCTTTAAAAAAAAAAAAAAGTGCCCTGTTCCATGCAAGCTCCAGTTTTAGGCGAACGAAAAAATATGCCGGGCTCTCCTAAATAGAAGGTTCCAACCAATCTCACCAGGCCAAAGGGGATTTTCACGTACAGATTTTGAATTTAGGAGGCCCTGACCTCTTCATCTGTCCTTCTCTTCATCCGTCCTTCTCAGCAGAGCACCTTGAGCTGGCGCGTGCTCAGATGCCTCTAAGCCTGTATTCCAAATTATGTTGGGCGCACCTTCAGCCTATGAGGGAAATGCACGGTACTGGGCTTTGGTTCTTGTTCTATTTTAACACTGTTTAGAACAGTAATCAGGTTTCTAAATATCCTTCCTGACCCAGAGCCTACCTATGCAACAGAAAGATTCGTTTATTCCAGAAAGGACTCTTCAGATTGAAACCACCTCCCAAACTAAAAACAAACAAGCAAAATCCCCAAAGGAAGGGTCACTTGGATTCCAACTCACCATTTTGAAATGTTATCTGTGTGACTACCAAGGAGTCACTTAAAGTTTAAAACAGTGGTGGTGGGGAGGAGGGATTTTAAGTAGGGACTCGCTAAAGTTTTTACAACTCTATTCATTCTGGAATTTTAAGTATCTCTCTCTAATGAAGAAAGTTCCATGCTCAAGCTCATGCTCCTACTTTCAAGCATTTGTTTCCTTTATTCTCTGGAAAGGGACACGGTCCGTAGTTCCAGCATGATTCCGGAAATCTCATGATGTGTGTCTATTTCTTCTAACCTGCGTCTTTCACATTTTCCCTGCACTCCTCACTTAGGGGAGTCCCCCTGATCTCTTCTTCCTCTAGAATTATAGTCCTGTCATCTTGCAATTCAGCATGACACATCATGGAATTGGACCCCTAATGTCTGTCTTTATATTCAATATCCAGTATCTCCGAAGTGTTATTTGGGGTAAATGGTATGGTGTTTATATGATTACCGTATGTAAGGTGAAGTGGAAGCTTTTTCATCCCACTCTGTAAAGTCAAAAACAGTTATCCTAGGTGCCCTACTCCCTGTTCCCCAAACCATTAACAATGGAGCACACAGGAGTCCCCAGGTGTCCCTCTATGGAAAGGACCCTAACCTATGTGAAATTGCAAATAAATGTCCATGGACAACAATGAACAGCCTTCAAGGAAACCCCAGGAAGAAATATGTGGTAAGGCCACATTTCTTAGATAAGGGTCTGAGTCTCTTCTCCAGAAAAAGTGTCTCTTTATTTCCTGCCCCACCCAACAACCACAGGCCCAACCCCATTCAGCCACAAGAGGCATTTATAACCGTTTTTCTTTATTCTACTTAGTGGGGCACCCAGAAGCTTCCCTGGGGGAAACACTTGTTCAGATAGAGAACACGCAGAAGATGCACGTCACCACCTCCTCTGGCTGCTGAGCCCGTACTCTGTCTTTGGCTCAGGCTAGGCCTCTTCTTCTGGGACTTAACGTGGCTCAGGTCCCTGAGTCGGCCAAGCCCTCCCGGAGGAGACCTGCCCAGCTGCCACCACCACCATTACTGGTTGGCTTCCCGGTACTGGTGCAGCAGGTCACTGACATCTGTACTTTCTACTTTTACCCAACCATCTTCCTTCATGTGGTACACTGTGGACAAATGAGAAAAGAACTCGGAGTCACCTTTCAGCTCAGCAAGTTCCTGTCACTGATGTTACGTTGAAGGCAGCAACAAGACACATGCGCAGGCTTAAAACCATCTGACTGGGCCTTTAATGCCCTTCTTCTGACTCTGAAAATTTCCTTCCTACCACTCTCCCTCCTTTGAGTCTTTCAATCTTTTTTTTTTTTCTTTTGAGACAGAGTCTCGCTCTGTGGCCCAGACTGGAGTGCAATGGCATGATCTTGGCTCACTGCGAAGTTCCACCTCCCAGGTTCAAGTGATTCTCCTGCCTCAGCCTCCCAAGTAGCTGGGACTATAGGCACCCGTCACCATGTCCAGCTAATTTTTGCATTTTTAGTAGAGATGGGGTTTCATCTTGGCCAGGCTAGTTTCTCAATCTTAAATCACCCCCCAACCGCCCGCTGATTCCTCCCAGACATGATGGTGGGAGCATTGGTCTCTTACTATTGACAACGCCTCCAGAATAGCTGTCTCTGTGAGTAGCATGAGCAATCGCCCTGCGGCCAAGGTCATAGGCCTCTTCAGGGCTAAGATTAGGCCGATAGCCACTGTCCATGACCCCGTAGGCATAAGTGTTCCCACTACCAGTGGAGAACATATTTCCTGAGAGCCGAGTCCCATGTTCATCCACGTAGTAGAGTCCAGGACCCTGTAAGATGGAAGATTTCAGGCTGAAATTGGAGAGGAAGATGTTGGTAATATGGAGGTTCAAATGTGAGTCATAAAAAGTGGACAAAAGAATTAATATTACCACAAGAGCACTGGAATTAGGAAATCACTCTGGTAAAGTCATAGAACTTTAGAAATAAAAAAGAAAAAACAAACTTGAAATCAACTATTTAACAAAAAGGGGACAAGCTTACAAAACACACGAAATGATTCATATCTGGGTCAATAAATAGTCCATGGATATACTGGAACAGTTCTATAACCAAGCATTCTATATGCCATGCATCTTGTCAGGGAAGGAGTAGGAGCATATGATGGGAAACACATATGTCATCCATGGGGGACATGGTGGGGGAACATGGAGAATGGAGAGCACCCACCTTCTTATCCCAGCCACAGATCATACTGCCCATAGAGAGGCCCATGCCCCGGTACTGGCACATCATGTTGGACAGCAGCTTGGAGGCTGCCGACACCGAAATACGATCTCCATTTCGCAGATAGTACAGCCTGGGTGAGGACAAAGTGGAGTGAGGGAAGGGAGGTTAGCTCTTGCCAACTTGATGAGACAGGAAACGATTGAAGAGATAAGCATTGGAAAGGAATTATTTTGTAGGATCTAAAGATGAGGGAAAGATTTGGAATTTAAAGTATCTGAAGCATACAAAGGCAGCCTAGTAAATGATACTATCCTACCAGGGTGGATGTGTCAGTGCTAAATAACTGACATATTATCTGGCTTATGTGTGGAGCACAGGCTGAGATTTGGGAGAAGGTTCTTATCACCAAAAAGCTGTTTTGTGAAATATGCTATTAGCACTAAGATGGACCGCATAGGACAAGAGTAAGGAGCAATGATCTGAGAGATCCAGGGATTAACCACTAGACTAAGAAAAGAAGATGAGAGGCCTCACTTACCTGCATTCCTTGGCCAGCAGGCGCTCCCAGTACTGACAGTCTGCTGCACAGCCAGACATGGTGCCAAGCAGGTAAGGGTTAATCTCAATCACCTTGTTCACCCGTAAGGTAGCTGGAAGACGATGGAGTTTTGGGAGAGAAGGGATGACCCCACAGATCCCCCAGTGTGTCCTAAATCAATATCCACTTCCACTTTGCTGCAGAGTTGGCCTCCTGTAGAAAGGGGAGCCCAGCCCCCCAGATTCTGGAGCCTGCTGGAGTGTATAGACTCACCAATGTAGGACCCAGCTGAGGCCCGAGAATCCACTGCTACAATCACTCCATGCTGGAACTTGAAGGCAAGCGTGGTGGTGCCATGGGCCATCTCAATCTGAACGTTCCCTTCTCCGTCCCCACCCAGAGACTGGAAGAATTCTGTGGGCTGATAAGAGAAAAGAGGTAGAGAAAGGCAATGAAACATTCTGTAGTAAGAGGCTCCAGGAAAAGGTTTTAGAGAGTATGAGGGTGAGGAGATATGCACAAATTATCTAACCATCAATAAATGGAACAGTTAATAACCAATCTCTAGAAGGAAATGACTTGGGAGAAGGAAAAGAAGAGGTATGCTGTATCAACCTTTTCCATTTTCCAGCACAATAGAAATGAAAGCAAGCACTTGTTACCATAACGAAAAAACTTTGAGAGTGACTTAAAGTGTTTCTTCCATGCATAAACCATTTGACCCTCAAAAAACACCGTTTAGTAACAGTATCCTCATTTTACAGAAGAGGGGCTTGGGACCTAGACTAAGTGACTTGTTCTAAGTCGCGCAAAAGTGAGTTGCTGAGACGAGGCCAGCAGGCAAAGTTCATAGGTTTCCCAAGACACCATACAGCTCCTATATCATGTGATAACCCCATGAAAAAGGCCCCACGATTTGTGTGTGGACAAGGGCAGGAAAGCTCTCTTGTCTTCCTTTGGGAGCCCCCACCTCACCTGTAACTCTTTGTCCTAACCTGCACTTCCTCCTCTCAGGCCCCATCCCCACGTGGCCTCTTCTTTGGGTCTGGCGCTCTCCAGGACTGAAGGCTGCCCCCCACCCTGTCCCCCGCGCTCCCGCTCTCGCCTCCTCCTCTCAGGCGACCCTCCACTCCTCAGCACCCGCCTTCCCTCATCCCTGAGGGTTCCCCTACAGCCCCGACCTGCATTCCCCGGGGTAAGGCGAGCTCTGGAGACCGC